TTACGCCCATCAACCAATCACAGAGGCTTGTAAACCCAACAACAAGCCCATCTGAAATGAAAGTAGACAAACAGCCACGGGTGTTGTTCTCACTCCGTCCCATTCGCCACCCCCCCCCCCCCCCCCCCCCCCCCTGAACCATTGTGTAACGTTGACTGCCGAATTTCGTCTATGTTGACATAAACTGTATGTTTTAGACGTGCTACATACGGTGTCATAAACAAAGAGGTTACCCTTTTGAAACTAGCGGTCGTTGGGACAAATCACTTGTTTCTATGACCTCGGCGTATACAGGCAAGGATAGTGTGGTCAGCACTTTACCCAGCCGCCTTTACTTTACCTACAGTGAGTCAGGTATTCATCAGAGCTGGGTGGACTCGGGGAATACTTAGAAGTCAAGTACTTGAGCATCCGGCGATCACAGACTGCTTGTTTCTGTAACCTCGGCATATTCAGGGATAGCCTGGTCTGCACTATGCCCAGACACCTTTAACCAAAGTGAGTCAGGTACCCTGCAAAGCTGAGTTGACTCAGGGGCTACTTTAAGTTAGCAGTCAAACGCTGTATCATCCGATCAATGAGTAGCCTACCGACTACTTGTTACTATAACCTCGGCATATTCAGGAATAAACTGGTCTGCAATTTGAACGGACAACTTTAACCAAAGTGAGTCAGGTACCCATCAAAGCTGAGTGGACTCAGTGACTACTTCGTTAGCAGTCGAGCGCTGTATCATCCGCCGATCAATATAAATAGCAAAGAAAAAGTTATGCATTTTTTAAATTTACTATGGTGATCTGACAACTGTGTGTATTGTTAGCACATCTGTTACGATCATCAGGAAAAACGATATGAAACTAAATTTAGCGCTAGTAAAGAAGGCTGACCTAATCTCTGTATATGTCAAAGTCTGAAAAAACACATGTTACATTGAATGACAACTGCGATACATGTTGCGATACACTCTTTCAAAGCTCGACATCACTGAAACCAACACCCAGGTCGCAAATGGTCGGTCTATTTCTTCTAGTCGTTTGCTTGTTGTGGGGGGGGGGGGGGGGGTAGGGAGGGGATGACCCGGGGGGACGGGGCAGGTTGTTACGTCAACTCTAAGGATCCTGTCAAGTATTCACCAAAGTCTTGGAATAACAGCTAACGGCCTGGTCGCTGCCCTCGAAGTTTGAACAAGACAGGCGTGAGAGATTCCCCCACCCCCTGCCCCATAACCCCGATCCCCCCCCCCCCCCCCCCCCATCCACCACGCCCGTCCTGGTTCTAAGCCTTTCATCTCTCCTGGGATGCCACGACTTGGCTGACAGACGGACAAACAGACGCGAAAATAAACAAACGCGTCCAGTTCGTGCAAGAGGCGCGTATCTCCTGTCGGCCTGTTCTCAAGAAATGTGTTTGATATTGTCCTAGATTGATTAGAATAGCTTTGTAATTACTCATTATAATTGCTCATTCTCAAGAATAGTGTAGGCTAGTAAAAATCAACCTGTTTTGAGTAGAGAAGCTTTTCGTGTAAAAAAAAAACATTTAAAAATAGAAAATAGGGGAGGATTTAATTAATGATCTCACATCATAATAAAATGGTCACTCATCTCAGCCATCTAACACTATTGTATTTTGAGACTACTATATAAAATATATTTGTCAGGGTGTTCGGGTGGTAGAGCTTACTACTGCCAACCTGAAAGGCTCGGGTTCTGATCTCGAGCCCGTAGTAATCCTTGACAGTGTTTCTTTCAGACATTTTTGTTCCTGGGGTGGGGGTGGGGTAGGGAACTTAAAACTTTCGGGAGGAGGGGGGGGGGTCTATTTTCTGGAGTTGGCGGCGAACTGGTATAAGTATGTACTATTAATATAAATTCAATTTCATTCCGGGGAAGGAATGTTTGCCGAGGGCATTGAAACATTGAAGCTCTACTTCATCTGCCTCATGTGTATTTGGCACGAATTGGATAAGATAAATATAAATTTAAATTTAAAAAGTTGTTTTTTTTTCCAATCGTTTAGTTATAAGAGGCATTGCTTTATTCTTTTTTGTGGCTAGGATTAAAAACAAATTAAATTAAAAAAAAAAAACAACTACTCATAATCTACTAATTAAATCAAATATTAAATTAAATCATCAATTTTTAAAATAAAACTTAAGCCAATACGTTAATTTATTACGGTTGAATTTAATTCACTTTAAATTGAAACAAAAATATCGTCACCCGCATTTAAACATAGCACATTTTAGCACCGAGATTTGCATCGTCTTGACTCGGACGCAAGGTTAGAAAAAAATGACCCCCACACGGCCCCCACCACAACCGTTAAACGGTCCTGTCACTGTCTCAAGGTGCACGAAACATTCAAGTTTTCACTTTTTTGTTGCGCGGGCGTGTTGAATGAGCGAACGTAACAGAAGACGTAACAACAGACGTAACAATCCCGCCCAGTGGTCATTGAATTTTAGGACTTCTCTTTAAGCCGCGTTTGATTGCTGGCTAAGCCCTTTACAATTTAATTTGAAAAAATCTTTTCAAATTGTTGCAAAAAAAAAAAGCTTTTTAAAATGTTTGTGTGCTCTTTTTGAATAACCAATACCCGTTTGGTTTACAAAGTAAATAGAGAAGTAACAATAATAGACTTTTGTTCTATATTGTATTGTTTCGTTTTACTCAATTTTTCATTATCTAAAAATAGAACAATGTTTCGGAAATTACCGATCAGTGGTTTACTATGCGCTCCACGAAACGGTGTGTTTTTATTTTATAGGTTAGTGTCTCGCGAAAACGCGAAATTAGTTTCAAACCGAGAATAATGCTGGTGAAATGAATCGACATGTAAATTTAGGCGTGAAATAGATTGAATGTGTATTGTTATCAGAGATCTAAGTTCTTCTTTTTAATCATGGATGTAGGATCATCTGTGTATTTGTTCATCATAGCGGCTTTAGTTCACATTAAGGTAAGTGTAAGAACAAATAATTACACATCAATCTTCTTATGAATCGTTCATCCCGATAAATCGGGACACTTAGTAATTGGGGTGGCAGTTTATTTGGTCGAAATAAAAATAATAAATGTCCGGACAGTTTCATTGCTTTAACCTTTAGGCCAGGCAAAAATGCGAAATTGGGCCAAAACTCCTTTTTCTCTATGAGTTATGATTTAAATAATCGACTTTATATATATATATATATATATATATATATATATATATATATATATATATATATATATATATATATATATATATATATATATATATATATAATAGAGAGAGAGAGAAAGTTACATATATATAAACTATATATATATATATATATATATATATATATATATATATATATATATATATATACATATAAATATATACATATATATAAAGGTATACATATACATAAAGACATATATACATATATATATATATATATATATATATATATATATATATATACACCATGTATCTAGATATGGAAAGGATCTTGCTACCAAAAACTAATGGAGTCGTATTGCCGTTCTGATCAATTACCTCACTATATAGCTGTTTCGCTACATTTTTAGCTGATTAAAGAAAATGTCTTCATATTTTTATTTAGCATCCCAAAAACATTACTGAGATATCTAAAACTCTGTAGTATAAAGGTATTGAGCTCCAACACGATCTTCAATCTAGAAGTAAGCCCCTCCCCCCCCCATCTCACCTTCTGTCTTCATGAAAATGTATTAGACTCCCCCACGTAAGATTTGAGTTGAGATTTCGATTGGTTGCAATGAATGAAATACAAGCTTGACATGCAACACCAGGATTTACCATCTAATGTTAACCCTAATCCTGAAAGTGTAGACGGCTAATTTAAGGATTAGAAATTTGAGTCAACATAACACAGGCGATTTTTGGTGTTTGTGTTAGATTAAAATTTGAAAAACCAATATCCTTGGCTAAACTTCATGTTATGCGCGCTGTCTAGGAGTCAATCAATACAATAGAAGCCGTTGTTCTGGTAAAGTTTAATCATGAGCGTTTGATATTGAAGCTCTTAATTTACTGTTTTAGGTTTAAATTTCATGATTTAGGGGTTTCCGATTTGGGTGTGTGTGTGTGGGGGGGGGGGGGGCGTGGATGGGAGCAAACAACGGATGTGTGGGGAGGTGTTGTGGTCGGGTTGTGAGGTAGTTTTATGTGTGGGGAGGTGTTGTGGTCGGGTTGTGAGGTAGTTTTATGTGTGGGGAGGTGTTGTGGTCGGGTTGTGAGGTAGTTTTATGTGTGGGGAGGTGTTGTGGTGGGGTTGTGATGTAGTTTTATGTGTGGGGTAGGTGTTGTGGTGAGATTGTGAGGTAGTTTTATGTGTGGGGTAGGTGTTGTGGTGGGATTGTGAGGTAGTTTTATGTGTGGGGTAGGTGTTGTGGTGGGATTGTGATGTAGTTTTATGTGTGGGGTAGGTGTTGTGGTGGGATTGTGAGGTAGTTTTATGTGTGGGGTAGGTGTTGTGGTGAGATTGTGAGGTAGTTTTATGTGTGGGGTAGGTGTTGTGGTGGGATTGTGAGGTAGTTTTATGTGTGGGGTAGGTGTTGTGGTGGGATTGTGATGTAGTTTTATGTGTGGGGTAGGTGTTGTGGTGGGATTGTGAGGTAGTTTTATGTGTGGGGTAGGTGTTGTGGTGGGATTGTGAGGTAGTTTTATGTGTGGGGTAGGTGTTGTGGTGGGATTGTGAGGTAGTTTTATGTGTGGGGTAGGTGTTGTGGTGGGATTGTGAGGTAGTTTTATGTGTGGGGTAGGTTGTTGTGGTGGGATTGTGAGGTAGTTTTATGTGTGGGGTAGGTGTTGTGGTGGGATTGTGAGGTAGTTTTATGTGTGGGGAGTTGTTGTGGAATTGTGATGTAGTTTTATGTGTAAGGATTTGTTGTGGGATCGGAATATAAACGTTTTTGACTATTTGTGTATGTGAGTACGTGTGTATGTGTGTGTGTGTGTGTGTGTGTGTTAATATGTTTGGGAGGTTATTAAAGCTTCACATTTTCAGCTTTCAACAAGAAACTACTAGAAAAGAAAGTACATCTATTATATTTTTATACCTAAGGAGAAAAGCAAAACGTTACATTTAAAAACGTTGAGAAATTTACCATTAATAGATACATTTTAGAGTTGTTAATAAAGATAGACATTAAAATTCTAGTGATCGAAATTCACATTGATAGGGTTATTCTTAGATAGATGACGATTTTATTTGTATTTTTATGTTTTTGTTTACTTAGAAAAAACTCCTAACCACAATATATTTTATATAGTCCATTGCGCTCGTAGTTTTATCATTAAGCGGGGAGGTAACTAACTCACTAACTCACCACTAGTCAAGATAAAACAATTTTGTAAACATAAGGTACATGTAGTGGCCTACATGTTTTGTGTATTTTTTTTTAATTTGTTATTTTTGCAATAAATTAAAGTTGAATTTATCGTATCTAAATAAATTATCATTGATCGTGATATTTTTTAGCGTGTATGGCTGTATGCGTGTGTATGTGTTTTGAAGTTTTATTTGTGGTTATTTAAAGTAAAAAAAAAAAATGGGGTATTTAACATGGATCGGGGGGGGGGAAGGGTGAGGTTGATTGATGGAACATAGTAATACCGATCCAGTAGTGGGGTTGTCCTGTAAATAAAAATGACATGTGACAAAATAAAATTAAATCAGAGCGGATGTAGGAATCGCTAAAAAATTATGTGACGTCATCAATTATGTACAACGCTAAGCCAACATTCAATTTAAATAACTATCTGATTGACAAATTCGGGCACATGAGGTTCGTTAGCTGGGGACAGACATTTTTCTAGGAGAGACAACTCCAAAATCAAACAACTGCTGCTTTGTAGTTTGTTCTTGGTTGGACGAAGGCTATGGAAGCAAATCCAAAAAAGAAAAGCAGGCTGAAATCGGTGTCAATGGCATCAATGGCGCATAACCAGTTGACACGTATACTTAATTGTGTTGTAAGGGATTCCAACACTAAAATGAAGAACGAAGAAGAAGAAGATTGACACCTATTTTGTGACTGTTGTCATTTATTACACCTAGTGGCGTAGCGAGGTCGGGTGTTACCCGGTGCGGCACTTAATGGCGTCACCCCCCTCAAACTTTCGATTTGCATCCCCCCTCAAACTTTCGATTTGCACCCCCCCCCCCCCCAAACTTTCGATTTGCACCTCTTAAAAGACTATTTAACACTCGAATTAATCACTTAATTAAGTGGAATTATCATTTTTCTCTATATATTTTGCTCTTTTTTGGGTTGGGTGACACCCGGTGCGGCACTTAATGGTGTCACCCCCCAGAGGCGCAGCGACCCTTCCCGGGGACAAACTTTTAATTTTCGATGTGCACCCCCCCCCCCTCAAACTTTCGATTTGCACCTCTTAAAGACTATTTAACACTCGAATTAATCACTTAATTAAGTGGAATTATCATTTTTCTTTATATATTTTGCTATTTTTTTTGTCTTGGTGTCAACCCCCTAATTGGTGTCATCCGGTGCGGTCCGCAACCCCCGCCCCCCACCTCGCTACGCCACTGATTACACCTACCTAATAGACATAATTAACAGAATTTGGATCAATTGTCGACGATAAGTAAACTTAATTGACCTACACATAAGTTCACGTCACTTTGTTTACATTACTTCCACTAATAACATATTGTTGATAGTTACATTTTTATGGAATAAAACATACAAATCCCACAGGTAGTCGAGTCTATGAAAACGGTTGAACTAAGGATCGACCATCTGGACGCTTCCAGAGTGACGTCACGAACCGCCTGCTGTACGTCTGGAGACTGTCCATGCCTGACCAAGCTACGGGCATGTGTTTTTGAACGGATGAGACAGTCGTGTCCGGCATCGGATTTCTATGAGACTGGAGAATTAGGTACCATGGTATATGTCATATATTCTTTAGTGGAGAATTAGGTACCATGGTATATGTCAAATATTCTTTAGTGGAGAATTAGGTACCATGATATATGTCATGTATTCTATAGTGGAGAATTAGGTACCATGGTATATGTCATACATTCTATAGTGGAGTATTAGGTACCATGGTATATGTCATATATTCTATAGTGGAGAATTAGGTACCATGGTATATGTCAAATATTCTTTAGTGGAGAATTAGGTACCATGATATATGTCATGTATTCTATAGTGGAGAATTAGGTACCATGGTATATGTCATACATTCTATAGTGGAGTATTAGGTACCATGGTATATGTCATATATTCTATAGTGGAGAATTAGGTACCATGGTATATGTCATATATTCTTTAGTGGAATTAGGTACCATGGTATATGTCATATATTATTTAGGGGAGAATTAGGTACCATGGTATATGTCATATATTATTTAGTGGTGAATTAGGTACCGTTATACATATACGTTCATTAGTGGTTAGTTAGTCGTACATTTGTATAGCACTCAGCTGATTAACGTAACACATATTATTCATTTCGAATTTCTCTTACATGGTAAACATCATACAGATATAATTGCTCAGTTAGGTACTTTGTTCTATACAATTCTAAAGGGGTCAATTAGGAATAATGTTTCACTACACGACAGCTAGTTGGCATTATTTTATTAATTAATTGTTAGTTAGTTACTATAGAACAACACAAACAATTATTTCCTTATTAAGCAGAGTTCATACCTTGCTTGACTTCGGTCTATGAAGAGCTAATGTGGTCAGCACTATGCACAACCGCCTTTACTGCCACTAACGTGAGATAGGTACCCATCAGAGCTGGGTGGACTCAGGCTTGAACCTGGATTCAAACTCGAGACTTTCGTGTTAGCAGTCTAGCGCTCTAACAGCCAGACCACGCCGTCCCACGACTCTCTACCCCATCTGTCCATTGGATCGCTTGGTCTAAGGAGGAATCTGTTTTTCTACTTTTAACAACAACATTACATTATTGACTATTAATTGTGATGCTATGGCCACTCATAGTTTTGTAACTAGCATACTCTCCCATACTCTCCCATACTCTCCCATACTCTCCCATACTCTCCCATACTCTTCCATACTCTCCCATACTCTCCCATACTCTCCCATACTCTCCCATACTCTCCCATACTCTCCCATACTCTCCCATACTCTCCCATACTCTCCCATACTCTCCCATACTCTCCCATACTCTCCAATACTCTCCCACACTCTCCCATACTCTCCCATACTCTCCCATACTCTCCCATACTCTCCCATACTCTCCCATACTCTCCCATACTCTCCCATACTCTCCCATACTCTCCCATACTCTCCCATACTCTCCCATACTCTCCCATACTCTCCCATACTCTCCCATACTCTCCCATACTCTCCCATACTCTCCCATACTCTCCCATACTCTCCAATACTCTCCCACACTCTCCCATACTCTCCCATACTCTCCAATACTCTCCCATACTCTCCCATACTCTCCCATACTCTCCAATACTCTCCCATACTCTCCCATACTCTCCCATACTCTCCCATACTCTCCAATACTCTCCCATACTCTCCCATACTCTCCCATACTCTCCAATACTCTCCCATACTCTCCCATACTCTCCCATACTCTCCCATACTCTCCCATACTCTCCCATACTCTCCCATACTCTCCCATACTCTCCCATACTCTCCCATACTCTCCCATACTCTCCCATACTCTCCCATACTCTCCCATACTCTCCCATACTCTCCCATACTCTCCCATACTCTCCCATACTCTCCCATACTCTCCCATACTCTCCCATAGCAGTTCAATCAATCGCACAAGTTCTCTACACGTTAAGAAATCAACGTTACGTCTTTTGATGTTTACAAAACACGTTGCCAGGGACAGACACCCACCCGAGGCGCACCCCAGGGCGCCTTAACCACCTAGATTAATCTAAGCCACACATTTCAGATTAAGGTGTAAGGTAATCCTGTGATTATGTTGAATCGATATGCCATCAAACTAGCTAAGCATATTTTTTTCCTTGTCTAAACACGCACTCAATGTGAGAGGTTTGAAATAATATCCAACAATGAACAATGGACTCCCAATTGAATCAGTCTTAAAATAGAACAGCTTAAGATATAAAAAAAAATATGAAGAATTCGTGAAAACATGAGGAGGTCGGCGTGGTTGGGTCGGTTAAGTTCGTGGTTGCTGAACCGAAAAGTCTGGGGCAGATGAGGCTTGATACCTGAGGACAGCAACACTTCTTGGAGGGACAACTCCAAAATCAAACAACTGCTGCCTTGTAGTTTGTTCTTGGTTGGACAAAGGCTATGGAAGCAAATTCGAAAAGAAAAGCAGGCTGAAATCGGAGTTAACGGCCTATATGGTGCATAACAAGTTGACCCGTAGTACTTTACCGTGTTGGAGGGAATCCCTTTCAACATTATAAATAAGAACGAAAAAGAAAAAAAAAAGGAGTGAAAACGCGGATTGTGTTTCAAATAGTCTGAGTTAAGATTAACATAATACAGCTCAATAAACATAGCATGAAACAGTAAAAGAAAGCATATGATAATAAAAACAATTCAAGAGTACATATAATAACATAATACGACAAAGCATAAAATAATAAAATACTTAAAAAAAACTTTTTAAAAAACCACGTTTTTCTTGTGGACTAAAAAGTAGAAAATAACTATTTACATACATTTGATGACAAAAAACGTGGGTACGTTCACCATCAAATTTCCCGACCCATCTGCCCGACCCACGTTTTTTGTCATCAAATGTATGTAAATAGTTATTTTCTACTTTTTAGTCCACAAGAAAAACGTGGTTTTTTAAAAAGTTTTTTTTAAGTATTTTATTTTCTCCTTTTTAGTCCGTTGCTACACATGAAAAACGTGTTTTTTAAAAAAGTTTTTTATATAGTTTATTTTCTACTTTATCTAATGACTTGATTAAGTATGAATTGACTAAGTGTTTATAAATACACGGACTAAAAAAATCTTGAGCGACCAGGATTCGAACCTGGGTTGTCGCGGCCACAACGCGAAGTACTAACCACTATACGATCACGGCCAGCGCGCTCACATCGATTGGGGCCGAAGTAACTGTGTCAACAAGCCTCCAGTCTTGTCGGTATCTTTAGAAATCATGTCCTCAATTTTATGGTCCTTTGGGCGTAATTAAATTAAGCTAATTACGGTCTCTAATTGCTAGTTTTTATGATTGCATCTGAAATTGTTAGGCGAAAGTAACCTGCATGCCAAATTTCAGATCTATAGAGCAATCAGAAGTGGGCTAATTTTCGATGTCAATTTTAACAACAAACACATCCACGCGAAGCTGAGTTAATAAAAACGTGTTAAAATAACACAAAACATAACTCAGTACAAGAAACCACAAATAACATAGTCGATCTAATATTAAGCGATACGATACAACGCATAGAATAAAACAACACAAAAATCATAAAACATTTCAACTTTACATAACAAAGCACCAGACAACCGGGTATTTTTAAAATCTTAACCAAATTGAAACAAAAATCATAAAAGAAATTTTACAAAAAAAAAAAAAAGGTAAATGAAATATTTAACATTTGGTTTCTATTTCTTTTTTTTGACAATTGTATACTACTTTTGTATTAATTATCTTTTATATGCAATTAATTAATTATAAGTATTAAGCGTGTGTCCACAAAAGTCATTCATCTCTGTCATTAATCCAGATACCTGCCCTCCTCCCCCCCCCACCCCTTTCTAGACTCACCCTTTCCCCCCACACACGTTAGGCATCAAGCACCAATGACCCAAGCCTCACTATTAGCCATGTAACTGGTCACTTAGACTGCCAACTCACACAAGACAAAAAAAAACAACAACCAACAAACAGACAATCGCCTTATCCTTAACTAACCCACAGAACAATTTATCACACGGCCGTCACAACTCCGGGAATGCCCGAAAACCAAAAATAAAAAAAAGGTAAAATCGAAACACGACAAGGTCGCTCGTGGCGTCTATTCAAGAAAGGGACGTTACCACGTTCAGGGGAATTAACCCCGTCTTTAAAAAACTATACAAACTTTGTTTGGCTCTTGCGTATTTCAGTCTCAAAATAGACCTCGTGTTCTGACTTTTAATAATGAACATGATATTGTACAATAACGTGTCATTTTATATCCCTTGAATCATCATTTAATTACACATTTGCATTTTCAGGTTGTTTTTTTATTTATTTTTTAATTTTTTTTTTATACTTAGACGTTTTTTATTAGAACTACGTATAAGTAAACCACCTTAAATGAATAAAAGTAGGCTACAAGTAAGAAAGAAATATTACTATTATAAATCTGTATCAGTCCTCACAAGCCGATGATGAAAACTGTAATACTAAACTTTAAAGCGAACACACAACTGACGCTGTAAATTACATGTCTAAGGCAAAAAAGCGGAAAAAAAAAAAAAAAAAAAAAAAAAAAAAAAAAAAACGTGTCATTTTATTGTTGGCTGTTACACGAAAAACGTACGTGCAGTGGTGTAGGCAGTGAGAGGGGGCCCCCTAGTAGGACCCCCCCTACACTTATATGTTGTCTTAATCTAATTAAAAGTTAGGCCTATTGGCGACATGATGATATATAAAGTTTTTTTTTTAATAAAATGGTGGAATTGCTCTCTCTATCTCTATTTGTTTGTTCTATGTACGAATAGATACACTTATGTATAAACCTATAACACACACACACACACACACACACACACACATATATATATATATATATATATATATATATATATATATATATATATATATATATATATATATATATATATATATATAAAATTCCATTACATTGACCATATGCAAATTCCTTGTATATCTAACTAAATTTAACAATTGAAATGATATACAATCCGTTAATCTCTAACCCGCGGTTTCTCCTGTCTGAAATTTTGCTTAAAAATAAAAAAATATGTCTCACTCGTCTGCTCCTATCTAAACAATCTAGATCTAGATCTAGTATGTCGCGAAACTTGTATGTTGAAGTACCACTTTACAACTACATACACTCCAAGTTCGAAAAAGAGAAAATTTACTCTTCAACATGAATGAAACATTCTCAAGTGTAAAGTGAGAACTTAAATATATAATAGACGAATGTTTATTTTCTGTAACGAAGTAAATATTTTCTTACATTCCATTCCGCTCCAAGATTCACTCAACAATTTTTTTTTTATCTGGAGTGGTCTAGCTGTAGAGAGCTGGACTGCTAACCCTTAAGTTTCGGGTTCAAGACAGTAGACCGTCCCTGAGTCCACCCAACTCTGATGGGTACCTAACTCACGTTAGAGAAAGTAAAGGCGGCTGGGCATAGTGCTGACCACACTATCTCTTCATATGCCGAGGTCACAGAAACAAGTGAACTCTACTCCACATGCCCTACAGACCGTCAGGTTTGAAAAAAGGAACTTTACTTTTACTTTACTTAAAGTAAAACTTGTTATTATGAGTTATCATTATTGAGGTATTTACAGCAGCTTTCAATGCATTTTCTAGGAGGTCTAGCACTCAGCAGGACACGGCCTTTGTTTGCAATCAATACACACACAGATATCAACGTAAGTGATCCCAATGTTTTGTGTATTGTCAATAACTTACGTCATGTCGTACTTCATACCTATGTTGTGTGATGTCAATAACTTAGGTCCAGTCGTGTTTGATACCCATTTTTGATGTGTGTTGTTCACAACTTAGTTCTTGTCGTGCTTGATAACAATGTCTTGTTTGGCTAATATTGTTGACAGCTGTCGTAAAAATGTCTATAGAGATTAATACGATTTTTTCTTCAACCCAACCCATACTCATACCTGTAAATCACGTGATTGTTACTTATCCCATGATACCCCAGTATATGGTTTTCCACACATATAACAACCACACACACATACAATAACATGAATATATATATATATATATATATATATATATATATATATATATATATATATATATATATACAAAAACAAAAACCACACACAAACACACACCTCTAACATCCCACATATTTATATTCTCACTTCCTTAACACCAACAAACCCTTCTCAAAACCCCCGAACCCTCCTTCATCAAAACTCCAAAACATTTCTCTTGGCAAAACTCCTAACAAAAAT